AAGCACCAGCTACTGGTTGATAAAGTAGTCACTAGAGACTGCAAGACTAGGCATACCAACCTCTGCACTGCCTGAAAAGCCTATGACTCAATGCCTCACACATGGATCCTGGAATGCTTGGAACTGTACAACATCAACAGGACTCTAAGAGCCTTCATCAAGAACTCAATGGGAATGTGGAAAACAACCCTAGAGGCCAACTTCGAGCCAATTGTACAAGTCAACATCAAGTGCGGTATCTACCAAGGAGATGCTCTGTCCCCGCTGTTGTTCTGCATAGGCCTGAACCCCTTTCAGCCAGATCATCACCAAGAGTGGTTAAGGATACCGACTACAAAACTGAGCAACCATCAGCCACCTCCTCTACATGGATGACATCAAGCTGTATGCCAGGAGTGAACGAGACATCAACTCACTGATCCACACCACCAGGATCTACAGCCAGGACATCGGAATGTCATTCGGACTGGATAAGTGTGGCCGAATGGTAACGAGGAGAGGGAAGGTAGTCAGAACTGAGGGGATTGTACTACCAGAAGGCAACATAGCAGATGTTGAGGACAGCTACAAGTACCTTGGGATCCCGCAGGCAAATGGGAACCATGAAGAGGCCACAAGGAAAGCAGCAACCACCAAGTACCTGCAGAGGCAAGTCCTGAGAAGTCAGCTGAATAGAAAGAACAAAGTCCGGGCGATTAACACCTATGCCCTGCTGGTCATCGGGTACCCCACTGGCATAATAAGCTGGCCAAAGGAGGAGATAGAGGCCACTGACATCAAGACAAGGAAGCTCCTTACAATGCACGGTGGGTTTTACCCAAAGTCCAGCATCCTGAGACTGTACACTAAGCGGAAGGAAGGAGACTGAGGATTAGTGAACGTCAGAGCCACTATCTAGGATGAAACAACAAAGATCCACGAATACATCAGGAACATGGCCCCGAGTGATGACATGCTTAGTGAACACAGGCAGCAGAAACCAGAGGAACAAGGGAAGGAAGAGCAGGAACCCTCATGGAAGGACAAACCTCTACACGGTATGTACCACCGTCAAATAGAAGAAGTGGCTGATACTGAAAAATCCTACCAGTGGCTGGACAAAGCTGGACTGAAAGACAGCACAGAGGCACTAATCATGGCAGCACAGGAACAAGCTCAATACAAGATCAATACAGGCTGTAGTCTACCATACCAGGCAGGACCCCAGGTGCAGGCTGTGCAAAGATGCCCCTAAGACAATCCAGCACATAACAGCTGGAGGCAAGATGCTAGCATGAAACGATTGCAGTCCTAGGACAGCTACCATACTGCGCATGACCCTGAAGCTGCCAGGCCTTTGGTAGAGGACCCAAGCTTGAAGGAAGGAATACAAGACCACCCCAAAGTGGGGGGGGCGAGTGGGTTTTTTTTAATAGGGTATATGAACCAGAGCTGCAGCAGAAATATGTCTCACATTACTTTTATCAGTAGTACACTAAATGGTGGGTTCAGTTTTCAGATCCTTTCCTTAAGTAAAAGTATCAATTCATCAATGGAAAAATAGTTACAAATGAAAGATTTCTAATTCTACTTATTGTAATCAAAAACACAGAGGTGCTTTCAGCAAAATGTACTTCAAAAGTACCTTTTTTGTAAAAAAATGGCTCTGTGGCTAATATGACATTGTTAATATGTGCACATCTGTAGAAAGCAGCATTTTACCAATGAAGCTGATCAAGATGGAGCTAGTTTGAACTACTAGTCTAATCCAGTGGTTCCCAGATAAATCTGAGTTTCGTTTAAAGAAGAAAAACAAACTTCTGCTTCAACAAATTCAGTCTTTCATACTTTAATCTCTGCTGTGTATAAAATTGGATTAATAATGACCTCCTTTGTCCCTGAACCCATCTGAGTCATGTAGAGGACATGTCTCTTTGGTGGAACTGCTAACAGCTCATAGACAAATTCAGCATCATGCGAGGCCTATTGTTATTTGTGAAAGTTCACAGACAAAAAAGGTTAAGAACCACAAATGTAACCATCTATCTATCTATCTATCTATCTATCTATCTATCTGTCTATCTATCTATCTATCTAGGACCACAGTGTGTAATACTGTGGGCAGTGCACTGAAAGCGGTGGATGTGAGAACAGAAAATGCTACAGAGGACACTGCACAACTGGACGCCTTTTGTATCAGAGACAAAGGTCAGTAAACACTGATAATAAATAAAGCTGTGCATAAATACTCAGGATATGAATGACTGAGCTTTGTATGTAAACATAATACTTGAGAGAAATCGAGAACAAGAATATTACTCCCACAGTTAATTCCACAATGGGGAAAAGCCCCATGGTGGGAACTTTTTACATCTCGCACACAGTCAGGCAAGAGTCGGCTGTTGAAATGTTACCAGTGCCTGCACAGAATGAAGGAAACTGCATTACAGTTTTTGGGAAATGGTTGGTAGTAATGTAAAAAATAACAATTTGCAGTAAATCGATTAAAGCCTGCAAAAATACTAGTTTTGTTCTTTGTTTACAGTAATGATACTCTAAATTGAATTGTCTCATATAAAAATATTATACATTTAACATGGAAAAATTGTTTAATGCTGCAATAAAACAGCAGCTGAATATATTAGTAAAATATTTTTATTTAGTAAAATAAACAAAATAAACTCTTTTGTCATATAATTAAAATGACAAATTTGATGAGAGTCAAGACAATATACAGTTTTTATCTCATCATAGTCACATTGTCAGTGGTTGTGTTTGTCAAAACTACTTCCACATTTCCCCAAAACCCCATTGCCCCCTGTCCCTTTCTTATCTCTTCCGCTTTATAAATAAGAAAATGATCCTGTAAAACTGGATAATAATGATGATTTGCGCTTCATTAGCCAGCCTGTGTAACATTGCAGAGAGGTAGCATTATCTTTGTCTAACTGCTTAAGACTTAAAAACATTTACTTCCCACTGTGTATGTCAGATGTTACACATTGGTTTTTTGTTTTGTTTTGTTTGATTGTTGTTGACAGAAGCTTGTGGAGACCCTCCATCCTTTCCTAATGCACATCTGCAAGGGCACACTGGGTTTGGGATAGGTGATGAGCTGCTGTACATGTGTGTGCCAGGCTACGTGATGCCCAGCGGGGACAACACCTTCAGACTGCTGTGCGACAGCTGCGGAGAGTGGTACGGACTGGTGCAGGTTTGCATCAAAGGTAACGAGGTGTTCAAACTTTTTATGTTGAGGAGCAGCACAGAAAGAGCTAGTTAAACCCTTCTTTCACACATCCTCTTCAAAGCTTTGAGCTTTGACCTAGACAGGTGACGCTTCCTTGCTTGTTAGCATCCAGCGCTGTTTGATGACCAGCGCTTGATTCCTGGCTCTTTGGGAAACAGAGTCTTGTTTGTGAGTTGGGAAGAAAATGGCTGCAATGGCACCTCAGTGTGACATGCCCTAGTGTGGCTCCGTTCACTGCAGAAGGGGAAAG